GCTCGATTCGGGGAGTGCCCGCAGGTTACAGTCATGCTCGCTGGCTCCGATTACTCACTAGAACATAGCAACAATCTAAGCCCCGCCCCCTTGAGAGCCTGTTTGGAACCTAGCCAAGGAATGCTGAAAATCTCAATTGAATTTCAGGGCTGGCTCTAAGCCAAAAACCTTCAAAGTGATCGTACGAAGGTGAACTTAGGCTCAAACGAAAGAGAAAAACCGTGCCATCTCATAAAGCAGCTACTGAATTGAACTGATTGAACACAACATTTTCTTGGTTCAAAACTTTATTCAAGTGTTGAATTACTGAGAAATTATTCAAAAAACCGTCAAGTTTCAGAAAAAATTTATTCGAGTGCTAAATCCGGGCAAAAGACTAGAATATCATTCGAGAAATGACAGTTCAAAAACTCTCAAGATTGATAGTTATTTAAATGCTGAAATTTAGGCGAAAGACCAGGAAATCAATTGCGAAACGACAGTTTATAAAATTCACAAAAATAAAAAGTTTGTTTGTGTGCGGAAGTCTGGGCAAAAGACTAGAATATCAAGAAATGAAAAACAAGAACTTCTCAGAAATAATAGTTTTTTTTGAGTGCTGAATTTCGAGCAAAACACATCAAGAAATGCCACTCAGTAGTTAAAACTACCACAATTGCCTGAAAATAAAGATTTACAAATTCTTAATAATTGTTGCAGCAGATGCTGCATGTGGGAATAAAAATAATCGTCGTAAGACATGGGAAGTTGAGATATCGATAGTAACGATAAATGCTTTTCACCCTAAAGGGCTTCTATTTACAAGGGAAATTTCGCCTCAAACTGTTATTGCAACCTTTCCTTGCGTAGGTGGAGGTCATTGCTTCCAGCATATTAGCAGGATTTTCTTCGCACATCAGAATCGTCTGTCGTTGACAGACTCAGCAATATCATTAGTGAAGTTCTTGATATTTCATTTCTTGATATTCTAGTCTTTTGCCCAGAATTCCGCACACAAACAAACTTTTATTTTTGAGAATTTTATAAACTGTCGTTTCGCAATTGATTTTCTAGTCTTTCGCCTAAATTTCAGCATTTCAGCAAATAACTATCAATCTTGAGAAGTTTTTGAACTGTCATTTCTCTAATGCTATTCTAGTGTTTTGCTAGGATTTAGCACTCAAATAATTTTTTAACTTGACGATTTTTTGAATAATTTCTCAGTAATTCAACACTTGAATAAAGTTTTGAACCAAGAAAATGTTGTGTTCAATCAGTTTAAATCAGTAGCTGCTTTATGATGATGGCACGGTTTTTCTCTTTCGTTTGAGCCTAATTTCACCTTCGTACGATCACTTTGAGGGTTTTTGGCTTAGAGCCAGCCCTGAAATTCAATTGAGATTTTCAGCATTCCTTGGCTAGGTTCCAAACAGGCTCTCAAGGGGGCGGGGCTTAGATTGTTGCTATGTCCTAGTAAGTAATCGGAGTCAGCGAGCATGACTGTAACCTGCGGGCACTCCCCGAATCGAGCTAATTAGGCTCGGGTTCCTAAGTTCCGTCCCCCATTAGGTTCGGGTTCCTAAGTTCCCGCACCCTTCGGAATGGAATGAGTACTTTGCCGTGCGAAAGCTCAATAAGAAAACAGCAGCAAGGACAAAAACTCCACAAACTCATGAAATGACCAAGTATTTTCAATAGCTTATGTTTTGCGGGCTAATCTCTTTCCAAAGCTTACACTGCGACTCATTAAAATATGAACTTGACGTTTGTTCTTTCGTCTCACTTAGCAAATCACGCCTCACTAGTACTCTGACGTGTAGCTCAGTAACGTGACACAGTGGCATTGCGCTATTCTGCGCTGCTTACCACTGCTGACGCGCGAGCGAAGCTGCTTATCGTTCTCATACTGAGTTGGCAGCTGCACTACCTGCCAGTGGCATTCCACTTTTGCTAGTACTTGCCACAAAAACGCCATTATTGGGCAGTGGCCGTATGTTCGCAAACAGTATGCGTATGGCGGCGCGAGTAAGCAGAGAACTTTGCTGCGAATAATGCACGATGGAGCCCTGGATGTGATATACCGGACTTTGGAGGATTACTGCGGGTCCTTAGGTTCTCCATGTTTATCACAACTTTTTTCACAATGCACATATAAAGCTTCAGCAGTTACAAGTGTATAAGCTCGTAAAACACCCCATTATCGAACAGGCAGCTTTAACATCACCATAAGTTGTGGAGGCGCCTGCATCACATAGTTCTGCATAAATGGATGCTCAAGCCACTTACTGGTTAACTCATTGTGAATGACTCAGCTCTAATGGTTCAAACTCTGGCGTTCGCTTCCAGTCCCTCTGCCAGGTTCGCGAATTAGGGCTGCTGAGGTGTCAAAAAGGACCCGGGAAATACGCTTGCCAATGCAGCGCAAAGCCTGATTGAAGTGGCTGAAAGGGTCTGAGACGCACGCTAGAGCTGTGCCATTAATCGGGATACTTAGAAGGTATCTGTGCGGACTAGTAAACAATTCTCCAAAGAGATGCACCGAGTCAGATATGTACATACAGGGTGTCCCAAAAAGATGTGCACACTGGCCGCTAATAACTCTCTTGCTTTCATGTCTTTCTGCCAAACTTGAGGTAACATTCTATAGAGCGAGGTTGAGCTTAGATTTACAGCGTGAAGCGAATCATCAATCGCTTTTCGTTACTGTAGGATTACGGTGGAACTCATAGCATGCAGCGTCACTGTGGAATAGACCTTTTGACGAAAAAAAAACCAAAAATCTGGAAATTTGTGTAGCAATGTTTTCGGGCATGCTGATCTCGCTACACAACGTCTACCAGTTTTTCGAGACTTTTTAACTGTGTAATTACTTCTGACAAACATTGGAAAAACAGTCTTACCCTAAATCTGAAATAACGTATGAAAAAAGCATTATTGAAGTGCAAGTTTCATATTCAGAATAAGCGACTTCAACTAGTCCAGTACAAGAGTTCCTGGCCTGTTTGGTTTTTCTTCTTAACAGTGTCCGGACAAAAAAGCATCACTTTTTCTCAAAGCTACACCTTTAAAAAAGCATCCCCAATCAGTGGAAAATCTCAAGGTTCTTCTACTAAATAAGGGTGAACGAAGACTTTTCAAGTGACTGTCTTAGGCCCGTATGCACGTACATCCCTGCTGGGGAGGGGAGGGGATCCGAGAGGGGATGCGTCATATCTTGCTACTCTACGTATCTTTCTTGTTCTTTCTCTATCTTGTTTATGAAACTTTTCATACACTTATACCTGCGCTAATAGATGTGTCACTTCCATACATCATTGGTTTTTTGTTTTTCGTGTGATCCCCAGGGGATCCCCAGGAGATCTCCAGGAGATCACCTCTCATTTTCAAAGTAGTTCATCTTCCTGAGAAGTGAATGGACACGCTGGAAAGTTGTACTGAGGATATATCACGGCAACGCTAAGCACGTTTTCGACAGGTGAAATGGGATTTGAAGATAATGAATTTCGATGATCCCTGGCTCGCGATTTAGGGATTACCGAAGATTTTGATATCCTGAGCTTTCAATTGTTTCTATTATAAACATCTTTAACAGTGCCATAGGATATCCACAGTACAAATTTACAGCGTTTTCATTGGGTATTTCAGGAAGATAAATGGCATTGAGTTTGGAAGGTGATCCCCTGGGGATCCCCTGGAACACACAAAATGACAAAAAGCCAGTCTTTTATGGCAGTAACCTGGCACCCACTATGAGCAGGTATGAGGGTATGAGAACCTTCATAAGCAAGATAAAGAAAAAGAAGAAAGGTATTTTTGGTACCTGATTTATAGACCGGTCTAATAATTGGTTTCGTTAGAGCCTACACCTCATAACGTATCCACTTGACATTCTTTATGGTGATTATCATGGACTCCTGCAGAGAAGCTGAACAATGGTAAACCTAATTTCAAGCAAAGTATCATTTAGCAATTTATTAGCACAGGATTGAGGACGTGAGTCTTCGAATTCTAGAAGTAGATAGAAGAAGAAGGTATCTAAAGTAGAGAAATATGATGCATCCCCTCTCATATCCCCTCCCTTCCCCAGCGGCGGTGATGTATGTGCATACAGGCCTTAGATGCGTGCTGATGCGTTGTACAAATTTTTTGGAGACTGGTGCCCCTGCTCTCAGTTTCAAATTCCCAACTACGGAAAAACCTCTGCCAGTGTTGAATTCAACGCCATATTATCGGCGCTAGTTGTCCATGGAGTGCATTAAGCTCACTTACCACACCTTACCTTACTCACTCACCGTTCTCCCAGCGCTCTTACGCTGCTGACTCTAGGGTATTACTGCACTCATGAAAGCATTCCGACTATCCTCAGACCCCTCAATTGCCGTTGGTTTAAGTCCGTCCAACATCTGCAGGTCGGGCTTTGCAGTAAAGTGAAAAAGTTGTCGGTGAGCCAGTAGAACTTATCGTTAGCCAAATCGGATCACCGACGAATCGGTTAATCGAGATGTACAGACAACAGATTGTTCCCAAAAAAATTAGAGTTGATATTTCGCGAAGCAAGACGTACCGGAATGCGACACGCGTCTGGGAATGGGTGGACCAGCTAGAAGCACTGATTAAGGCCCCGGGCAGACTTCACGCAATTTGATCGTCGCGACTGAGTCGCGACGAGACAACTGTTACAACATCATTCCATGCCGATCAACTTGCATTCGGTTGTGATACTTTTCCAGCCCGAAATTTTTGAATGTGAAATGAAAATGAATGGAAATGTCGGCGATTAGATCGCGACGATTGAGTCGCGTGAAATCTGTCCGGGGCCTAAGACGGCTATACCAGTTTTCCGCGCGATTAATACCGTTTATTTAAAAGACAGAAGATAAGGCAAGGGAGGGACAGGAATGGGAAGCTGGCTGCTGGGCTGTGGCTTGAGCCTCCACAAAACATACGAATGGTCCATGGAAGTCGTAAGTGAAGCAATCCAGGTCAAGTCCGTGGTTTAAATGAACTCTCATGGATATGTATTCGTATTTATTACATTCGAACAAAATACATTGGTCGTCCAAAAATAATACAGATAAAAGTTATTACAGTGGAATCTCCATACATACCGATGTAATGTGATATATCTCACTGCACAGTATTTATACAATAGAATTCGTGCAGTGGAGTCTCAAGGTGAATGCGTACCCTTACAACATGAAACAAAATTAAGCTCACAAAATAGCATGCAGAAGTTTTGAAGGTCTTAAGATTTCTACAGCTAATTCACAGTCAAGAACTGTCACGATTTGCAGAATTACAACCTCTGAACAATGTTGTTCGTTGTTAAATGCTACGCAAACGCGTTTCGATACAGGAGTTATAGTTTCGCTTAACCAATGTGTCCAAGGTTTATGCTTCTTAGTATCTCCTCAGGAATATTGGCCTTCAAAATGTCGTTCTCTGTCTCCAATCGGAATACCTAGAATTTTTAGCAGTACAGTCTCTTTTATGGCACTTAGGGATGGCGTCATAGTTGCAGACCCGGATCCAATCGGATCGGGCGCCGCGCAAAGTGATCCGACCCGGATCCGATCCAGCTCCGCAGCTATGACACCTCTCACTGTATGGAAGTTCCCAAAAGAAGACATGCTTGATTTTAAGCATAAATCTGGTGTGTCCATTTAACGAATGATAAGCTCAGTTGGAACAGCATTTTGTTTTGCGATTATTTTTCATCCTAATCATTTATCAGCATTTGAGTACTACGTTATTCAATACCGTAGCAGAGACTTACTCATTAAACCTGATTTCAATTAAAAAAGCTTTGTTGTCTGGATATTGTGTGTATACTACTCAAAAAGATGAACGATTGACTTACGTATGACTCTAGGTCCGTGATTTTCGTCCTCAAAGCGTCCACTTCCTCTCGAACAGCGAACATAAGATGAGTTTTGACAAGATCCTAAAAGTTAGGATCTGATCAATACATAGTGAAATGGACATTCTGATGCATATCATGCAAACACTAAATTTCCATTTATTTTTACTGGCAGACGAATGTTTAAAAACAAGTGAGCGGCTGAAACGCACCTTCTTTGACTTTTTGCGCACCAGACTTGACAGAGATTTCTCCGGTCGTATTTTTCAAAATCAAAAAGCACATTTACAAATGAATTTTCTGTGAAATCTGCGATGAATAATCATTTTTGACTAATTTCGACTTTCTGGAACATCGCTGGCGTAGTGAAGGCCATAGTCTTCCCAGCTCTTTCTTGATACTCTCATACAGCTCCAATCATTCCAAGTAGAGATGGGAGAAGCAGTACTATATTCAGTTTTTGCGGTATGGTGATTTAAAATAATTTACCAGCAGCGATGCCAGGATTTCCGTCCCGAGAAAGGGCGCGGGGGGGGGGGGGGAGGGTAGAAGGCGACAGAAATTTTCTTATTAATGAAGTTGCATGGCCAGCCAAATACTCCGTAAAATTTTTTGGGATAATTTTTGTAGGTCCATGATCGATTGACTCCCGCATGTAGGGCTCCAGAAATATCCAAAATGGTCTCACCGTATGACAACTGTATTTCTAAGATAGAGCCAAGTGATACGACTACAGGAAAGAGATCGGGTCTTTTTCTTAGAAGATTACGTGCAAAACTTACTCCCTATATTACCAAAGCATGGTTTTTTCTTTTGGATTGCGTGCTCATTACATATGATTTGTGTTCCGGATCGGTCCGTAGGTCTCGAGCATAGTACCCAATTGGCTTTGACGCATTAATACCGAAGCGCTATAGTTTGAAAAAGCGCTCCAAAGGCAGCGCGAAGGAGCGAGATGCATGCGATGCGACAGTTTTAGCAGGAGCTCTATAAAATGGACTTTATAACAAGAACAAAAAGAAAAGACTTTTCAAATAACAGTTTTTCAAGAATCGACTAAGACAGTATAAACAAACAGAATCTGTTATTCATTCCTATTTCCATCCCGAATTTTTGAGTATTAATTTGCGTCCACAAAACAATTCTCTAGAAAGTCAAAGGTTAGTTTCGCGTAATTTGCCTTACGTCTTAAAGCTAGTTCCCAGTGCGAATGAACTTCAGCGCTGCCTCACATGATGCGAGATGGTGACGTGTTTGATATAAATCTCGAAAAAAAATTAGAACAGAGGTTAAGATGTGATGTCGATAAAATACTATCAGATTTATGAACAAGAAAAGAGAGTTAGATATTTTTGTAAAGTTCAAACATTTCACCTTTCACCTAGCATATGAGAAGTCTCAAAGAGGGTTTGACCACATAACTATGCAAGTAAGATATTTTTTTTGTGGGAATGAAAGATTACGGTAGGATATGAAGATGCGGATCCTGTCAGATCTGAGCACGTGACTATGAGTGTCAGAGCAAGGATCATCTATTCAAACAAATATATCAAGAACTTACAATAAACTGAACTGACAAGGAGATGTCAGTTAATGGGTTCTAGCCTATTCTTGGTTACGAGTGTAAAATATCCTTATTGCCAATTATAGACTGGCCGGCGTTCTTCAAAGAGAGTAAAATTTACCCATAATAAATAGTCTCAACTCCCTAGATTTGCTTTAAAAAATATGAAACCTTATAACTTGCACAAACATTTTTTGACCCACGTCCATGTTTTCTATTCATTACTGAAAATTGGGCAACTACCTATCAAACTAGCCGATGACAAACAGAACTCTATTAACAATAGGTAAGACACAGGACTGAGATGAGATATACAGAGAATTTCATGTTTTTGCCTACATTTATGTCCTTTTGACCCAGGTAGTAAACTTTCTTGGACAAAAAAATGCGTTGTTGAAGCCGTAACAAGGAGCCTAAGGCATAGAACCTGCTTTACAGCCGGGTATTTTTTAATTCTCGGGCTTTTTGAAGATTTTATATAGTCAAAAGTTGAGAAGAGGAAAGAATTTACCATGGCTTGTTCAATCTTCGAATCGATTGCCAGCGTTGATGTTTGGCTCGTTCCGTTCATGCTAGCCGAAGAACTGTAAATACAGGATTGTTATTGTACAAGCAGCTACGACATCACGTTGATGTGTGTAAAAGAGTGTCTTCACGAAGGCGAAAATGAAAAGAAAAAGGAAAGGCGCGAACCCGGCAACTGTTGAACGTGAGAAAGACTTCTGATGCATTTTACCGACAGCAATCAGTAACGAAACTTTGTAAATGATTGACTATTTATGGTGTGTCGCTACACGGTACGAATGGAGCGCATCATCGGTACCATGTGACTCGATGGTAAACCCCCTTGATACTGAGGAACCACAGCTTGAACTTGGAGTTTTAGATGTCGCTAGAGATTTTCAGCATTCTTTTTTTATTCTGTGGTATTTAATAAGTTACTAGGAAGAAAAGGGGTTTACTATACGACGCAAGGAATCCATATTTCATGAGAAACTTCTTTCTCTCTCAAATTTTTTACCCGTAACGGTCTCATCTACAAAAGAAAAGAAATTTTACTTTACGACGCAAAAAACCCAAACTTCATTAAATTTTCTTCTCCTTCAAAAATTCTTATCAGGTCTCGTATACAGGAAGAAAGGAAATTTACTATACGACGAAAAGGATCCAAATTTCGTAAGCGATGTTTTTTTCTTCAAAAATTCTCATAGAGTAGGAGTCTCCTACGGGAAGAAAAGGATTTTACTTTACGACGCAAAGAAACTAATTTTTATGAAAAATTTTTTTCTCCTGTTCCTATCCGATCTACAGGAAGAAAGGGGTATTACTAAACGATACAAAGAATCCAAATTTCATGATAGAATTTTTTCTACTTCAAAAAATCTTATCCGTAACGGCCTCAACTACATCCCCACTCAAATCAACACTCACTTTTTAATCTCAGAGCAATAGCACAACTCAGTCAAAAAGAAAAGTTTATGAAGTAGAACTGCTAGAAATGGCATTTACATTCCTTTATATCTATTTTGTTTTAAACCTCAACACAGCGAAGAAAACTTGTTCTTGCTTGTTCGTTTTGCAAAAGTTGCGGAAGAACTCTACAAAAAAAATTTCTTGCCACCGATGAGTCGTTGATTTGTAGACGTCGCAAATGTTTCGCAACTTTTACAACACTAATGAAGTCATTATTCGTAGACTAGTTGAATTAGTCATCCTAATTTTTTTGTTTCATAGTATTTGATAAGTTAGTGGAGAAAAAAGATTTTAGAGTCTGGGCAAAGAATCGAAATTTTATGCGATATTTCTTTTTTTTTCTTACAAAATATTCATAAAAAAGAAGCTACACTTTCGAGAGTGAAGATGTGAGGCTAGATTTCCACATTTATTTTCACAAAAGAATTGGTTAGTATTGTACAATACTTTTTAAGCAGAGTTATTCCAACTTAGCAATTTTTGAAAATGGCCCAAGCTAATTCTCCTAACAACCAAAGCAGAGGATAAAAAAATAATTCAATCCAAACAGAACAAAAAAGACCGTTTAGGTAGCTAAGCTTAGCCTAACACTAGCGAAAACTACGCCTACAGCCAAAGATTCAGGTTAAATGTATGACAATCCACATAAATTTTCTAGCGTTACGCGTTACAGTATCCACAAAACCTGTGTTGATAAATGACACACAGTTCTTTTGTTTCTTTGTGAGATTTATGGCAATATGGTGAGTCTTTTTGTGCAAAGTTGCGTATTTTTTGTTGGCTTCGTTGTGACGAAATGTTCTCCACAGGGCAATGATCAGCATCGTCAGAGAAATTCTCTGTCATACTTGGTGCTTGAATAGCAATATATAAGGTTCATTACGAGTATTCTGCTAGTTCTGACTCATAATTTTCCGAAATTTCTTGGCATAAAGTTCTTGGTTGTCAACTCACTTACTAGCCCATAACTCGTGACGTTGGCGCTGACTGCTTCGGGCATCAGATGGATTGAAAGATTTTTCCAAACCTTTTTGCAGTTTTTCCTCCTGCGCCTTCAGCGAGACTCTGCGTAGGTTCATGACTCTACCTATAAAATTAATAAATATATCTTCGAGTCACTTGTAATTCAATATGTGAGTCTGCACACTATGCGCAACAACCGACGACATCCGTGCTGATAGTTTCTCACTAAAACTTTTTTCCAGCATAACACACTATAGAAATGTGTCCTACTAACTAATACAAATTTAATCAAATCAAAGGAGACAGGAAAGTAAAAATCAGTGGATGATCTGAAGTCGTCAAATAGCGCGCATGGTGTGCAATTCGCATAGTTACAAATGACTGGACGATACATGTTTAAAAAAATGTGTTAAAGCCTACCTGCAGCACCACGTTTCTGAAATGGTGGAGGTTCATGTGCTTTTAGACTTGTGAGCGGCACTTCTGGAACCGGAGTGGTCCTCGAAAATGCTGGAGTTGACTGAAAGACTCAAAACTGCACGATAATGCATATATCAATGTTATCCACACGATTAGTCTGCCAAATGCATCAACAAGTATGTAGATAAGCAATCGCATTAAGCTTCTACCTCCCTTTAGTACCGATAAGGAGTATCTAAGTATTTGAGTAAGCATTGAGCTTACTGATAAGCTCGCTCTACATGACTTGCTTGCTCTAAAGCTGACTTTCGACAACAACTACAGAGAAAACAGGAAGTTATAACTATTGACAGAGTTCTATTAAATGATTAAACTACTGTTTCACAACAAGCTTAAGCACTTTATTTTAGATACAAAAATAGAATCACAGGCATTTCACCAACCGCTCTGCGTAGGTTCCAAACTTTTCCATCTGATATGTTCAGCTAAAACATAACACATGTAAATAAACTTATTCTAGCAGATTTTGGTTATTGTGCCTTTACGGTGAAAACAACGATTGCGCGTGGTATATCAGCCAACGGTAAATACCAGGAACTGTACATGCATGGTACATGGTACATGGTGTAAATGCATGGTACATGCATTTCTGTCGACAACTTTGTGTAAAAATGGATATGGTGTACATTTTCACAGAGCAAAAAAGGCTATTTTTTACGCGCAAATGTTGTCGGCAACGCAAGAATATTATGGTATTCGCCAGATCTGCTAGGCTCTGATAGCCATATCCTCTTGAAGTGTTCTGGTAATATTCGAGCTGGATTTTTCCGATAGGATTCGAGAGCTTTCCAATAGCGAAACGACGAGAAATTGCGAAATTTGCGTAAATTTCCTATTTGCAAATACCAGTGAGAAATATACAGGGTGTCCCAAAATAATGTGCACACTGTTTGATTGTAAATAACTCTCTTGTAATGAAGTGTTTCGAGAAGCTTTGAGTACCATTTTGTAGAGCGACGTTCAACTTAGATTTACGGTATAGAGCGAATCGCCGATCGCTCACTCTTACTGTAGGATTACGGTAGAAACTTTGAAGAGGGTTTTGAGCCATGAAAGGCCATATTTTGTTACAAAAGGGAACCAAAACAACCTGAAAACTCTCACACTGGGCTAATTAGAGTTGATGATTCTAAATGTGAAGTTTGCAACTTTTCGTAATGCTTCGTTAAAAAAGTATGCGAGGTAAGCAATAGCGGTCATTTTTTCAATGTTCCTGAAAAGTGCGGTTACACCGTTTAGAAAGCTTCGCAACCTTGTAAAGAGTTGGGTATTGAATTCAGCGTCCAGAACCCTATTACATAAGTTTCCACATTTTTTTGAAATTTTCTGAAACGGCCGTTTTTTTCACAGCGACACCATATGTTTAAAGTTTCTACCGTAATCCTACAGTAAGAATGAGCGATACACTGTAAATCAAAGTTGAACCTCGCTCTACAAAACAGTGCCTAAAGCTTCTCGAAACACTTCATTACAAGAGAGTTATTTACAATCAAACAGTGTGCACATTTTTTTGGGACACCCTGTACAATAGGGATACGGTTGCAAAGTATTTAGCATGAGTCACGTGCAATCAATTTCGCCAAGACAGCGTGAAATTTCTTACAATTCAGTGTTTACCCAAATCTTGGGGCTTTTTCGAACGCCACATGATTTATTGCATCTTTTTGTTTGGTCTTTGTAAGTCCGATGACGCCATTGATGTTTAGTCTATCATGCTCTCTTCAGTGCAACACAGTAAATCACATTTGTTTTTACACGAACTCTCATCATCTTTTATTCTCCTTAAATCACTTCTTATCATTTGCGCGAGACAACATAAATCAGAGTAAGACGATACGATAGATTACCACTCACCCTGGCGAATATATCGCTATTTTCTCGATCGCTTTCGCTCGAATCTTCTTCTTCAAAGTTTTCGGAAGATCGAATGGTATCCTTAGCATCGTGATGTCCATAATTTCTGTTCAGCGAACGAACTGGTCGAGCTGGAAAGAAAGAAATGAACAGTCAGATTTTTCAAATTAAAGGGCGGATGAATACCGTTGGTATTTTGTCGAAGCGGGACAATTTCAGGCTTGAAGCCTTTCGATGTGTCCTTGTCGTAGTAGTCGAAACAATTCCATCGGCCACGTCTGTATTTGCTTTCCACTGGAACAATCTGCAACAAACAAAGTAGATAATTTCGAAAATAATTAGAATGCTGTTGAAAAGAATGATTTTCTCAGAAAATCCCCTCAAAAATCCGCAAAAAGTGCCACAAAATTACAGATACCCGAAAACGTGATGGTGCGGCTACCGTAGCTGATTGTCCATCGACTGACTTGGAGAAGGAACGTATACGCTTCTGATTTTCTGTAATGAAGCGATATGAAGTCATGGGTGCTGTGACAAATGTTCTTTTGACTGGCAGATGTTTATGGGCGGGGGTGGCGGGAGGTGTGAAATGTCAAAAGTCCCGTTCGAAAAGTGCTATCCGGGTTAAGGCTGCTGATTGTTTTTAGACGTTGGCATATATGAAAAGTTATGCAAATCAAGGATATGGGAAGATTTTTTCTAGGAAAATCTGATTTTCCACGACCACTCATTTTTACAGTGATTCGTAGCAGCTGATAGTTCTCCTGAATTTAGGGCCATTTTGCATGGGCTGAAAGTCGATCACTAGATTGTAGAGAAAACATAACGTAGACACATAGAGAGGTCAAGACTCTTTCTCAAGCAAAATGAAAATTAAGTTTACACGAAAACTTCTGACAATAAATCTAACTTGCATGGTCTTGAGGTATATTTGAAGGCACAGTAAAAAAAATAGAGATAATGGAAAAGTCGCAAATTCCCGAAAATTATCAACGAAAGTTCACACATTTTATGGTTCCATATCCGCACTGGACTACATATTTATGAAATATGTGCAACTCTTCTCATGGTAAAATCTTTCTTTCTACCAGTATCTATATTACAAAGATGAGAAAAACAAGAGCAGAGAACAACCATCTCAGTATGACTGAACGATTACGGTAAGCCTCTAATTACGCATGACAACTGTATTTCCTCTACTCGTATTTCACATGTAAGTTAAGCCAGGTTGTCTGGCTGTTTGGAAATTCGTCAACGTTGTGTTACACTCAATTAGTGAACACAATTCTGCGCAAAGGAAGTGTTGAGAAATTGCAATTTGCCCAAACAAACCACTTTACAAGTCCTTTCAGTTAATATATTCAACATCTCTAAAAGGTCTGGGGATAAATCGGTTGAAAATTTATTAGGCTGGAAACTAAGTTTTGCAACTGATCTCATAACTTCCCTCTCACTCAACATGGCGCACTCAAATTCTGGCATTATGTAGAAAATCATATGTGCTACAAGTATGCACAAACCGTTTGAATTTTGAACACGAAATAAAAAAGTTTCAGACATTTTTCGAAAACTAGTGAAATTTGAGAATTTTTGGGGTTTCAAGCTAAAATGAAGCCTTTAGCAGCCTAGACCATGCGAAGTAATCCGGATTCGTCTATAAGTTATTGCTGGAGGTTGACTCCTCTGGCATAGTAAGAAAGAAACAAAATTTAGGGGCATGTCGAGATTTGGCGTCCTCACAAAGTCGAACGAGTCGATGTACGCAAGAGCTGCTGGGACGACCGTCAATGACTAAAGAGTCGGAAACTCAAATTCCCCCGAAACTTTACACGGTAAGGTTATTTGACCTGCCGAACGCGAATATCATATTCATTTGTTGAATCAACACCTTTTTCCTTGTTTAGGATAAGACCCCATATCGTACACCTACAGTAATCCTACAAAAAGCCCTTATCACACAATTTCGCTATCGTTTTCGTGATCAGCATGTCGGATAACACCCCTATGCCAAGTTTCAGCCAAATCCATTGAACTTTGAATTTTTCCCCTTCATACCATACACCTACCGTAATCCTCACTGCGACGTCAGAATTTGGTAGGACAGCAGCTGCGCTTGTAGCCTACTTCATAGCCAACACAGTGGCAAAATTTGAGTGCGCCATGTCGAGTGAGAGGGAAGTTATGAGACCAGTTGCAAAACTTAGTTTCCAACCTAATACTTAGCGACATGACAAAAAAGCTGAGTGCACTCTTGAATATATACAACACTAGACAAAATCTAAGAACAGAGATTAATTTGTTGTTTGGAATGGGCGGAACTGAAAGACTAAACTACGGTTTGAGAGCAAAGACCGAATATTCTTCATCCTATTACAGTCTGGTAAGAGAATTTTATTCCTTTTCGACATGAAGGAAGTATACGAAGATGACGCAGAATTAACTTTTTTTTCAATAATCAAATCAGAAAAGTAAGAGCCAAAAAGCATGAAAACAAGGCACCAAGAGGAAAACAACTTTTTAGTTCTTTTCTGTTATGCGTTTCCATCCAGCAAAATCTGCAAGGAAAAGAAAGAACAGCGCATCAGGCTACAGTATTTTGAATATAGAATTATTCCAATCCAAAACTACGCCTGATTTGCTGCGATCACTGTGATGCTGCTCAGGCATTACAGTAATCTAATGCATGAGCAGAGACGTGACGCTTCATAAGAAATTTTGATTAGTTGAGAGACGACTTCAAATCTGTTCACTTCTTCTTGAACTAATTTAAGTTATCATTTCATCATTTTTGGAATTCTAGAAGAAGGATCAATTATTGCACTGTTTTTTTTTTTTAGAATTCGGCGCTACGGGATTTAGACAGGTGCAACGGCTGACCAAGCATTTTTTAATGCTGAAATCAAAAAATTTATGGTGAGGAAGTCAAAAATGTATTTGTATAGAGTGCATAAGCAGATATAAAGCTTCGATAAGGTGAATTATATCAGAGATCTATAAAGCCACAAGCAACTCCGATATATGTTGGCATACGAGGCAATAACATGTCAACCCAACTATGTACAGCAGTCTTGATGGCGGGTTCCTGTAATTTTCAAGAAGCAAACTTCTGGAAATGGGTGCTCACTGGTTTACGTTACAACTTCTATAAAACAGTGTTCCCTCAATTTGATTTCTCCCGCTTTCCCCTCCCTCTCCATCTCTCTGTAAAAGTTGCGTTGACTGCTTTTGTATCCTTATTACTAATGAAAACGTAATTGCTTGAATGCGTTTTAATTCGCTCAATTTGCTTTGGTAGCGATTTATATTCGCTTACCACAACTCCACTAAGCTAGAAATTTATGCATAACAAACCCACATAAACCTTGTTTGAGAGCTATGTCAACCTTACAAAGTTAGAAATTTCGAGAGAAAGTGGCAAGAAGCGTTTTAGTAGTTGAATAAATATTTTTGCTTTAAAAATGGATTCCCCCTAAGAAACAGTTCAAAATATTTCACCATTCTTGCTCATACCACCAAAACTAACATTTTCTGTGTTCTAGAGGATTATCACAAGGATACACTCCAATAAACCGGAATCCATTGAATCCAACCTTGCAGTTCTTTTGCAGTAATCTCATTAAGGATCAAACTTGAATTTTTATCGCAATGAAAAATCGTCTAGCAAACGTGAGACATATCATTTGTAAAGGGCGATTGCGATAAGATCGTGAAAAACAATGAGGAACGAACATGTAAGTTTCAGTTCATATGAGCTTCAAGTGAAAAAGAAACGTCACACTGTGTTTTGTTAGAAAGGATAAAGAATGACAGAAATTGGCCACCCGATGCTATACTTGTAGTTGAAAAATGCATGTAGATTTTCCGAAACGGGATTTAAACATTTTCAATGGAAATTCTGGCAACATATTCTATCCAGATTTTGCGAAATTTACCATAGATGACCAACGAAGATCTCTTTGATAAAACGAGTTCCTTTAGCAGAATATGAGAGCAAAATATTCACACTTATCTTTCAAAACTCTTTCAAATGTAGTTCGTAATGTAAAAATTTCATTTTGGCCATTTTTTTAGCATCTGCGAAAAAATGAGCTCACATCACTCGAAATTTCCTCTCAAGACTCAACGTCATCATTTGTATTCAATCACGTGTTCGCTATGCTGTGACCTCATGAGTAAATTCCAGACATGTTAATAATCCATATTTGTCAACTACTCTATGCCGAAAACCGGATTTTGGCAATTGAAATGCCTATCAAGTGTTAGAGTGCAGACGACTTCTAAAAACAATACTGAGTGTAACATAAAATGATATACGCAGTCTTAGCAGCAGTGATGCGGTTTCATTTTGTTGTATTTAAAAAGAAGATATAGGTGCTTGCCGCTGATTTTCCTTGGTATCGGTGTGTCCACGTCCGAATCGGATACGTCCTTAGCGAATTTGTCGATGATGCTAAATTTTCCTTCGGATGAGGCGTACATTTTCGAGGATTTCTTCTTTTGCTAAAATGGAGAAAACTGTTCTTGCGAGCAATAACTGATCATAACCAACTTGAAGACTCGAATTTTCTATACGATTAGCTGCGAGAATGTGTTAGTAACTGGTCGGAAAGTGTTAGAATATTACTTCCACAACATTACCCGTAACATGACAATGTGAAGAGGAGCGCTCTTGGCAGACGATAATGTGTTCACCGTCGAACCGCCCTAATGCAATCACCTTGTAGAGGACGGTCAATTAGGGAGAACATGATCATGAGGTTGAAAGTGTGTCCCAACGCGATTAATCTAGCTGATAAGCATACTAGAATTTTTTTGTGCCTACCCTTACGAACGAGACACTTCGGAAGATTTGTGAACTGCATAACTGGCACTGTTCCGGTTTCTAATCTAATTCTAATCGTGATGCAGATCTCGCACTGTGAAAAAACACACCAACTATGCTTTGGAACATAAAAATCACGCTAAAATAAACGTTCGAATCATCTTCGAGTGTGATCCTGTTTTGACGCATGTGCAGTCAATAGAAGTCTGACGTGAACCAGTTTTGTGCCACTACCGAAAAGAGAAGGTCGTGATATATCCGACGACATCGAGTTTATTTCGGAAGCAATGGATAAAAATCCCTGGCCGAACAGCGCGAAGATAACTGTGCAGAAACCGAATCATCTTTCGATAAAACCGACACGCTTTGCTATCTAATACGTAGTGGCACCATTTTCACAGGAAAAACTAAAAGTTATCAAAAATTGGTGAATAAAGAGCAAGCAAAGCTAACCTTACAGACTTGTATGCCGCAGAATTGAAACAAAACACCCTAACTGAATTTGCGTTTTCAATTCAAAACATCATCTGACCTTTACAAATTGATAACGGACAAAAAGATTACAACGTATACGTTTTGGAAAAACAAGCGTGATATGGCGCACAAAGATTACACCTTTTGAACATTAACATAATACGCTTAAACTACCAAAATGATGAGAGAAGTTAGAAGTTTATAAGGCTGAGAGAGAGTCTTTTTCTAGATGAATTAACTGAAATAGAAAAAATTGTTTAGAACGAAAGATGGAAAGGTGCTATTTCAAGCGGAATGTACACGCACAAAATCGACTAAAGAATACCGTACACGTGAAGAAATCGTGCTACAATAATAAAACCTTATTCGATATTTGCCATTTTGGACCAAAGCGTAATTTGCAACACCAAAGATACGATGCTTTGTATGGTCCGGAATGGTAATACCTACTATTAGAATGAAAACTTAAACAGGGATCCCAAAAAACGTGCCTACTGTTTGATTGTTGATAACTCTCTTGTCATTGAACCTTCCGAAAGTTGGCTTCATATTAGATTTGCAGTGTAGAGCCAATCATCGATCTCTCTTCATTACTGTAAGATTACGGTAGGAATACGCAATGGCGCCACTGTGAGATGAGCCATTCGAAACAATCCGATTTTACTAATTTGCGCATTCGCAGAGCTTTTTAGATGGCGTAATCAAATTTTTGACAAATATCAGACATCGGTTATGACAGAATATCTAGCACTTACGAAAAAAAGCGTTACGGGGAAGGAATTCCATATCTGAACTAATGTAGGAGTTTTCAGCACTTGTAGTCCTTTTAGAGGTAAATTACGACCCTTAATGAAAAGCATTGCTCGATGTTCCTACCGTAATCCTACACTAAAAAGAGAGAACGGTAATTCGCTCTATACTGTATATCTAAGTTGAAGCAAGCTCTATAATATGTTGTCTCAAGCTTTCCAAAAGACTTCCCAACAAGCACCCCGTATTTAACAGTTTGGCGAGGTTTCAGAAGATGCTGACCATAATTATAACTTTCATTCAAATTCTTGTTATTATGCAGTAGCATTACGTCATAAGGTCCGAGGAAGTCGTACACTTTTTATTTCTAATTAGGTTCTAGGATACCATCCGGTAGAGCAAAGCAAAATCAACAAGAGGGCTTCTTGCGTTTGCATCAGCTTTGATGCACCTTATGTTCAAAGCCGAAATTCAAAAAGTTCAATGTCTAAAATCCTACAAGTCTCTTACTCGGTAGCGCATATACACTCCAGACATTCATACATATATACCGTCGCTGTATGTTTCTCCAGCTATAAATCGAGAAAGCAATAGTTTTCACGCTTTGTCGAAGAGATGCTGCGCTGTCCCCAAATAAGTTGTTGTATAGTACAAGCTTTTGCAAGTTGTAAATTTCTAGCTTTCCTTCAGCTCTAGTTCCCGAAATATTGATTTTTAGCGTGATACAGCTGACGAGGGAAGGATACTTGGTGACCGTGGCTTTTTGCAATGAGATGTACACCAGTAGGTGCGTTGTGGAACGCTGATTCCAAATCTATGTTCATTATCTGCAAATCTATGTTCATTATCTGCTGTGCGAGTCCCTGAATGAAGTTATGGACTTTTTTCGATATTGATTTTGCGAGATTTAGACAGTCAAAATCGTCAATATCCAGGCTTTTTAGACCCTGATGTATTGGTGACAGTTTTTTTTGAAATCAAGTAAAGCTTTGGTTTATATGTACGCTCTTTTGTAGTGCGTAAGCAAACATTCTAACGATATTAGTGAATCCTGCATCAAAAACAGTGCAAATTTTGGTGACAAGAAATGTTCATAACTTCTTTCGGAAGAGCGCACAGCAGACAATGAAAATAGATTCGGAATCAGCGCTTCAAGATGCATCTAACACGTTTCGGACCGCGAAATCGCGCGCGGCGAAAAAGAGTGCACTTTCAGCCATTGGCCAGTAAGGGGACCTTATTTCGTATACTGTGTGCTACATCTGTAATCAGCTTGTCAGATAAGTTCCATACCCAAGGTTCTAAGTGGATTCGATGTGTTTAAATTTTGTCGCTTGTGAAGGATTCCTGTGCTTTTCTGAAAGATAGAAACAAGAACTCAGTTTCTAATAGTATCCAAAAGTATCTATGTTGTAGACGGTACACATCAGTATTGAAACTACGGTTTTTCTCTTTGATATCGAAGCAAAGAGAAGTTGCGACGTCGCACGCGTCGTTCGCGTTGCCGCACTTCGTTGCAACTGTTGTTCGATTTGTGCTCATATATCCTAAACAAATATCGACGGCACAACTCCACAGAGTCATTTGACAAATAGAAGCTTAGGCCTTTGTTGATAACCTTGGACTAAAAGAAAACCTGTAAATTTCAGGAAGATCCTTCAGAGCAGAGTGCTGCACCACGTGCAGCACCGGTCCGAAACGTGTTAATGGTGTATGTTTCATTTCAAAAGACCACGGTCATCAAGTATCTTTTCCTTGTGAGTGAGGAAAGCCAAATTCCATAACTCTCGAACTAACGTCTGTAGAAAGCTGATTGCAATACATTATGTGGAACCAGCACAATATCACTTTGGCAAAAGCATGAAAACTTCTGTTATCTCTTTTCTTTAGAACAAGAAATCAGCGGGGCAGACTTGAGTACCTGATAAATGTGAAGTCTACAAGAAAAACGCGAAAAACTGACGAATTATTCATGGAGGAATGACACCAAGAATAATGTTATTGATTGGGAATTGGCAAAATGCCATCGGTTGTGCTCCCATCGTGGAGCGAAGCCTAGGCGCTGTCGACTCACACTCAAGTCAATGTATACACCTGATCCCGGTTCGAATAGTAGGCCTTGTTTAAAAAGTACCTCTTTAGCCAAAGGCTACTGCCGAAAGAAGGCGCGAAACCCAAAGGCGCGACTGATTTTGCTATAGTCGTCCTCACCTCACTAGTCGGTCGGTGGTCGAATTTGAATTCGAACTGGAACAGGCTGACCGCGGCAGAGCGCGGCAGACGCCGCCCCTCAGCCAACCGCTTGCACGAGCTTTTTTCTTAATTTCTTCGTGTTTCTTCGCTATCTTTAGTATTGCGGCAATGCTCTTAACCATACTTTCAGATTTTGTACTCGCTAACTCTTTGAAGCAAACACTTTTTAAGAGAATTTCAACCTTACCGCAAAAAAGTAGTCTAGAATACATATTCTGAAGAAAAACTTGACAAAGTCAAATCACATTTGTGTATATGTCAGTTACCGGAAAAGAGATTTTTCATTCAAAAATCTCCATTCGCATCCTTTTTCCCGGTTTACCTGGTAAAAAATTTAGAACAAACGAACACAACTGCACAAAACAATAGTTAGCAGCACGAAATCTAAAAATCTGATTAGGAACATTGCCGCAATACGAGAGATAGCAAAGAAACACGAAGAAAATAAGAAAAAAGCTCGTGCAAGCGGTTGGCTGAGGGGCGGCGTCTACCGCGCTCTGCCGCGGCCGGCCTGCTCCAGTTCGAATTTAAATTCGACCACCGACCGACTAGTGGGTTGAGGACGACTATAGCCGCAGAGGGTATGAGGCGCAGCTTTTGCAACTGTGAGCATGCGCAGCCTTCGCGCCTAGTCCACTAGTATTCCTTTTGCGCCTTCGTCCGCCAGTAGCCTTTACGTGTGAGGTCAGTATAGGGCTATGCCTGATCGTGAAAGTCGGTGAGTATGCGGCCATTGCTCAGACACCACGCCTGCTTGCTGCTTGCTCACTCCTTTCTTCTGCCAAAAACGTTTGTTAGCTTACAATCCCTCGAAGCGATTTTGCGAAGTGTGGAGCCCTCGTTTGTTCAAGGGTGCAGGGTCTTATGGGCGTTTTGCATGAACAATGTCTGCAACCATCACGACCTTCACGATCGGGTAAAGCCCTATTTAGCACGCTTGCATCAAAGGCGAGTTTGCTTAAGATGTGTTACATTAAAAAAAAACTCAATTTATCATTAAACTCTGCAGATATGCATCAAGTCCATAATTCAAGATATTATCGAGCGGAATTACTAATATGCAAGTAATTAATAGGAAAACTATCACAAAGGCACTTGAAAAGCACTGACATTAGTTTTCGTTCTCATGGCCAGTAACATCTGCGACGTTACGCGTATGCGATGGTGTTTGCATCCGCACATACTAGAGTACAGTCTACAAGCAAGCGAAGGCGCAATAGCAGCCCTATTGAAGCGGACGTGAACGCGGCGCAAGCAGCCTCAGTCTGTCCCAATCGAATCAGGCCGAGACGTTGACTTATCGCGTCGCAACGCTAGATTTCATGCAAATCCTGCGGCTTCATCCGGCGACCTTAAGGCAGCGTCCCGGCAGAATGAGGGTGATGAGTTTTTGTAGCGATGTGATA